AATGAGGGAACAACAGACTTTGGTTGGGGAGGGGAATCGGTGCCTGAGAAGGGGGAAACACCTCTTAACCCAGCTTTGCTTCTAGAGAAGTCTGCCTCCTTACGAAGACAGTGTGGTGCTTTATTAGTCTTAATTCTGGCAGTAGGTACTGGTGCAGCATTCAGCCTCACTGAGGTGGAGATCAATCATTATCAGCATTTTGTGTGCTACTGCGTTAAAATGGGATGAATAAAATTAATTACCCCTAAAATGCAACCTTCCACACAGAGGGCTGGAACTTCACAAGCTGTAAGTGGTACTTTATTCAGAGAGATTTTAGTCAAGTATCAAACACACACAGGGACATACAATCTTCAGAACAGTCAGAACAAAAAAAAATGAGACCCACAGCATACTATTATTTGCTACTTTAATAGATGGGTGAAACTGCAAGAAGAGGAACCAAAATCTTGTTCTCAGTCATTCTCCTTACTTTCTCTTACAGGATAAATCTATTTGAATACCCAATTCACGTGATTTTAGTGTAAAATTTAACATATCCCTTAATCTGGGAGCAGGCAGAAGCCTTTGTTTTAGGGAAGCAATTACGCCAAGCGAATAGAGAGCTGGTATGTGACTCCTGTGACCAAGAGGTCACTTCGCTGCCCTCCCACAAGCTCTGGGGCTGCTTTAAATCCCTTCGCCCCTCTCTGCTTCAGTCTCACTGTTTGCCAGGCAGGAGTGGAGCCAACTTTAAGCCTAGGTTGCCGATGCCCATTCATAAAAGCCTCTTGCTTGAGCAACCACTTATCAAGGGAAAGGATGCATCTCCTTTTTGATATTTTAAAATGGTACTAAAAAGAACAGTTTAAGTGCCTGCACATAAGTAGTGTTCAAAATGAGGTAAATAATTTGATAATTTTAAGCAACAGAAAATTGTGCCTTAGTTTTCACAACTTCCTACAAGTGCTTTTTTTCTCTCATGCATGCTCTGCATTGAATTTGCAGAGCATGTGTAATTGCAAGACTTGATCCTGAAGAAGGCAAATGAAACTTTTTATAGCATTTTCAGGCTACTCATAAAAGTGCCATATTAAGATGAGCATAATTTATTGGTTTTATTGCTGGTATTGTTATTAGTTTCCAAAATTAAAGATAGACCACCTCAGTCCGTAAAAAATTTAAGTTCATCAGAAATAACAGTGACTATCTTCTTCATTTTCTTCAGCTACAAAAGCCATAATTTCTGTCCTCAGTCATCCAAGACATGTGGTAGCAGTATCTCCTACAATGCAAAATAGTAGAAAAAGAGAATAAGGAAAAAAAAAAAACAGGAACAGTTTGGTCCCCATTTTGTCCAATACCTTTCTCCTATTTTGCTAAAATTTTCCTTTGCCCTCTCAGAACATCTTTTCCTTAAAAAAATCCCATATTTCTATGTATTCCTTCTTAGCTCATGGTTGTAAACGCTGTCTGTAGGGCATGGCCAGTGAATCATAATAGCAAATGTCAACAGGAAAAGATCTCCCATAGCCCATTAGCTGTTTGAGTTCATATTTATTATTTACTGAATGACTGTGAATAATGAACAAATTGCTCTAAATCATTACAGATTTGTGGCTAAATCTTTATTAAACAGAGAAAATCAGTTAAAGCAATTACAGAATTTATTTGCAATGAAAAATTTGCCTTCTTCTTGTTAATATTATATAGAATAGACATAGCACCAATGAGAGGAATAGAGGTAATCAGTGGAAATAAGTTAGGGATGCAAAAAATGGAACTCTGAAATGACAGAGAACTGAAAGAAATTATCACAAAATGTTTCCATGGAGCTATCTGCCCTAATCAATGTGGGTTAGTTTTATATGACCATCAGTGAGTTAGACAACATTGGAGATTGTCACCCCGACTTGTGCTTGTAGTCAGTATCTACAGGAGTACATTAAGTTACGTAAATCCCATTCTAGCTAAATAAGGCTAATCTTTGGACTACTGTGACTAATTTGTGCATGAGTTTGGGCTTAATCTTTTTCTCAGAGGATACTGGAATCAGGTTAGGAGTGCTGCTGATGCAAAAAGTGTGCAAGTTTGTCATTTAGGCTTGTCTTCCTAAAGGTAAATGAGAATTTTGTAGCTGTTATACAAATGGACAGAGGAATCACAAATTGTACAACTGAAGGAAAATACCAAGTCCTAGCACACAGATTATGTAGCAAACAACAAAGGGAACCTATCCTAAAACTGAAGAGTATCTAAATGTTTTTCTGTTGGCTTTGTGGAGCACATGCGGTGATGCCTCTTCATGCATTTACTTGAGCAGTTCTGTAAATCAGATTCCGTTTTAGGGCAGTCTTGAAGATTATGTAAGAGAAAATTGTGGGCTTATGTTTCCTACTTAAAGAAAATATGTAATATCAGGAGTCATGTTATCAGACTTTATCCAAAATCTTACAGCTGTTAAAAAGTCATGCGCAGCATCATATTTAATTAGCTCTAAATTCTTTTTTTCATTGTGAAGTCTAAGGCTTTCCAAATTAATGTGGCTATTTGAGTATTTTTAAGCAAGAGCCTATTAACGCTGAAATTTTTTTTACAAAAACATGCTATAGCTAAAGCTCACAAAGGAAGTAATTTGTAATATTCAATGACCTCATTTTATTCTGTTTTGCTCACTCAAAGCTAATGCATATGATGCCATGTGAAATTCTCAGATGAGCCTGTCTGCAGGACTTATGGGAGCCATAAATGGATTAAACCTCTCACTCCCTGCTTTGGCAAGTGATCAGTTACATTTAAATAAAGGTCAGTCTGTCTTTACAAAGAACACACTGAAAGCAAGTGTAATAGCTTTGCCTACTGAGCCTAGAACATAACTATTTGAAGCATAATTAGCAACGGGGTGCCAGTCACTTGTTGTGCTTTTTGCTTGATTTTATGCCTGGGGAGTTCCAGTATTCCCCATTAGCTTTAAGAGGGGGCACAGTGCTAGTTATCAAATTGACAGTCTTGACCTGGTCTCTGAAAGCAGCTGTAAAACATTGTTTGGGAAAATTAAGATGAATGCCAAATGCCATAACAAAACCAGGATTGTAATATTGCTACAAATTGGACATTCGTGGCCCATGCCGTGACGCCGAATAACAATGTAGGTAAGATATCTGATATACACAAGAGCACGGTCTTTGTTGTTCTAAATGCCAGGTGACCGTGATAAGGAGATACACCAGCTGTCCTATTATCTTATCTTATTAGCTCTGTATTTTGAAATCTTTATTAAATACCCCATACCTATTATTTTCAGCATTAACAGAGTGACCAGCTCAGCCATCTGTTAAAATATAGGTAGGATATTCCTTGCAGAAAGAATGGAGTGAATCAGCTGCAGTTGCCCCTACAGTAAAAGGTACGGATCACAAAAGGGTTATTTTGTCAAGTTAATTAAATATTTAGCCTACATGAGGCATTTAAGAATAAACGTGATGATAGAATCATAGAATGTTTTGGGTTGGAAGCAACCTTAAAGATCATCTGGTTCCAACCCCCCTAATATGTTTTCTGGTTTTCTGGTTCTTCAAAATACCTCATTTGTTTGGGGGTTTCTTGACCAATACTTATAGCTCTTGTGGCAAAAGTGATAATCATCTACAGGTGGAGAGAACAGAGTCGATAACAGCAGTTTTGGTACTCAGCAGACAGCCTGAAATTCTAACAGAGGTTTGTAAATTACCTTGACCTGCCTGACTGGAGCGTCAGCTTCAAAAGACCAGTGGTTGCACTCCAGTGTCATCAGCAACTAATTCAGCACTGATTGTTTTATCGAATGTTATCAGGGAATGGGTAAGAGCAAAACACTGTGGACTGGCTTTTGGGAATTTCTGGAGATAATGCAAGAGCAGACCAGAGAGATAGGCAGGGGACAGCAAAAACAGCAGTAGAATAAGGAGGAGGAGTAATTAAAGGACAGCAAAGAGGGTGGGATTAGATGGAAACAATCTATTAAATAAAGATGAACATGATATGAATTATTATGAGAAAATATTACAGTCTTACACTTTAGGTGTGATACATAGACTGGTTTTCTGTTCATCTCTGTGTAAAACATCAACCTACTTTTATCTCAGCCACTCTCACATGATAGCTGGTCGATGGTTGCATTCCCAGCTCAGGTGCTCTATGACCAACCAGGGATTAAGATAAAACCATGTACTTTTCCTGATTTACCTGCACTTGTGGGATAAACACAAGATTTTAGGTCTGCAGGTTTTCATCTCCTTTCATGAATGCTATATCCATTTTAAGAGTTAATTAAATACCTTACGAAATGTAGGAACTGCCAAAAAAAAATAGAGCTGTGTTTGGTTTTACAAGCCCTTAGATATATTAAAGTAAGAAGACCAATGTCTTAAGCAGTTCTGTATCAGTTCTACCATTCTGCATCTGTAAAATTTATCTGTGCTTCTTTTGTTTGTTATTTTTCTAGGATTTCTTTTTCCTTACAGAAAATTTGTATAGAAAGTGGAGAAATCAGTGACTGATTTAATTGACAATTTTCAGCTTATATGAAAGTTTCATTTTTTTACAGATTTTCTATGAAGGAGCCAACTAATGCTCTGCTTCCAGCACAGGCACTTCAAGGTCATATTTCTTTGTTTTCACCACAGGTCAGATTCCATCACCAGGAAAAACTAATTTCAAAGCATCTTCCATCACAGGCACTCCGAAATAATGAAACGAAACAGCCAACCAGAAAAAAAAAAATCCTTTTTCTTTAACCCATCAACCCTGCGCCAGCGATGCAGAACTCTCCTCAAGCTCTGGCAGTAAAGTTTGCTAGTCAGGTAGCGAATGCACTCCTGTGGCTTAGACCTCCATAATCACTTCTCTCTTCTGCAGGACGTTTACTTCAAGCATTGGTAGCGGCCAGCTGTGTCTCCTTTCAGTCTTTTAGCATGTCCACATTACATTTTTCCACATGTCGTTTCGAGTACTTTAAACACTCGCTTTGTTCTCTATTGTAGGTCATGGGTTATATGGGACTTTTGAAATGTTGTCCTCCTGGAGAAAAACTAGAGAAGACCAACATGTTAAAGAGAGGACTGCAGCCGTATTTGCAGACTCCATGCTCTCGTTTTCTCTCACCACTGCCATGTACCTGGTCACTTTTGGAATAGGTGCCAGTCCCTTCACTAACATTGAAGCAGCCAGGATTTTCTGCTGCAATTCCTGTATTGCAATTTTCTTCAACTACCTCTATGTACTCTCCTTTTATGGTTCCAGCCTGGTGTTTACTGGCTACATAGAAAACAACTACCAGCATAGTATCTTCTGCAGAAAGGTACCAAAGCCAGAGGTATTGCAAGAGAAGCCTGCATGGTATAGGTTTCTTCTGACAGCCAAATTCAGTGAGGACACAGCGGATTCAGAGGAAACGAACACTTACGAGAGTCATCTTTTGGTGTGGTTCCTGAAACGCTACTATTGTGACTGGATAACAAACACTTACGTCAAGCCTTTTGTAGTTCTCTTTTACCTTGTTTATATTTCCTTTGCCTTAATGGGCTACCTGCAGGTCAGTGAAGGGTCAGACCTGAGCAACATCGTAGCGACTGCAACACGGACCATTGAGTATACAACTGCCCAGCAGAAGTACTTCAGTAACTACAGCCCGGTGATTGGGTTCTACATCTACGAGTCGATCGAGTACTGGAACACCAGTGTCCAGGAGGACGTGCTGGAGTATACCAAGGGCTTTGTGAGGATATCTTGGTTTGAAAGCTACTTAAATTACCTTAGGAAACTCAACATATCTACTGGATTGCCCAAGAAGAACTTCACTGATATGCTGAGGAACTCCTTCCTGAAGACCCCTCAGTTTGCCCATTTTTCAGAGGATATCATCTTTTCCAAGAAATACAACAATGAAGTCGATGTGGTGGCCTCCAGGATGTTCTTAGTGGCCAAGACAATGGAAACCAAGAGGGAAGAACTTTATGACCTCCTGGAGACCCTGAGGAAACTCTCTCTCACCTCCAAGGTGAAATTCATTGTTTTCAATCCATCGTTTGTGTACATGGATCGTTATGCCTCTTCAGTGGGAGCCCCCTTACAAAACTCCTGCATTAGTGCTTTATTTCTGCTCTTCTTCTCTGCATTCCTGGTGGCAGACTCTCTGATCAACGTCTGGCTCACTCTAACTGTTGCCTCAGTTGAATTTGGAGTTATAGGGTTTATGACCTTGTGGAAAGTGGAACTAGATTGTATTTCTGTGTTGTGCTTAATTTACGGAATTAATTATACAATTGACAACTGTGCTCCACTGTTATCAACCTTTGTCCTGGGCAAAGAGTTCACAAGAACTAAATGGGTGAAAAATGCCCTGGAAGTGCATGGGGTAGCTATTTTGCAGAGCTACCTCTGCTATATTGTTGGTCTGATTCCTCTTGCAGCTGTGCCTTCAAATCTGACCCGTACACTGTTCAGGTGCTTGTTTTTAATAGCATTAGTCACCTTCTTTCACTGCTTTGCCATTTTACCTGTGATACTGACTTTCCTGCCACCGTCCAAGAAGAAGAGGAAAGAGAAGAAGAATCCTGAAAACCGTGAGGAAATAGAGTGTGTCGAAATGGTGGATATGGATAGCACCCGAGTGGTTGACCAAATTACAACAGTCTAACTTGTTTGTTTGTTGTTTTTTTACACTAGGTCTTACTGAGGAAAAAAAAAAAAAAAAAAAAAAGAAACCAGTACTGGCTAAATATCTGGGGAGAGGAAGGGGTTTGGAGGTTTTCCCTCCCCACTCTAAGCTAAATCCATGAATATTCAAAATTGTGGGAGAAATTGAAAATAAATTTTTTAAAAGAGCCAGGGATTGTAGCTTGCTCAGCTCCTGTAACAGGTATTATGAGAGAATTTGCACACACATGCAAAGAGGGGTTGAATTTTAGACGCATGAAGTAAGATCTAATGGGAGAAGTTGGGTTCCTAAGCAGACGTCTGCATCGCCTGTACTGCAGATGCTGCTATTATTGTGGCTAAACCCAATCAGATTGAAAGGTCAACTGTCAAGGCTGAAGTAGCACTAAATGTTCACTGGATGTAAAGGCTTTACAAACTTTCTGCACAGCAATAACTCAAGTCAGTGAGTCAGCTCTTATAGGTCTTAGCCATCACATTTAATTTTTCCTTTCTCCCCTAATCTAAACATTTATGCAAGACTATATAACAGGAAGCAAACTGTACTGGGAAAGAAGGCAGTACACAGCAACCAAATGCTTTCCAAACACTTTTATGTTATAAATCTTTTTTTCTTAATACTATCATTATTTTAAAATTTAAATCATCCCTTGTAACATTTTTAATCATGGTTTTATAGCTGTTTCTTTTTCTTATAAAAACAAAAAAGAACAAAAAAAAAAGAAGAAAAAAATCCCAGTGACTCTGTCACTCTAGAAAACATGTAATTCTATTTTATACATGTCTCGCTACTAGTTAAACATGTAATCTGCTTTACAAACTGTAATTTTGTTAGCACTCTACTAACACATGTGAGTGGATCTAGCAGCAGACAGAAGATGGTGTACTGAATATTTCAGCACCAAAATCCATGAAACAAACCTCAAATACTGAAATGTCATCAAGAAAGTGAATGTTAGTGCTCTTTTAATGAGAGCCTATTCCAGGCCATTCACTGGTAATGCACACTAAGAGGATTAGTGGGTAGTTTTACATAATGTGTAACTTAATCCCTCAATCTTCCTAGAGTACCTGTAAAGCAATAGACCTTGCAGCTATGGGCTCTTCCAACAGACAGTAGACTGTGAGAGTTATATGGAACAAACTGAAGGTTGGGACTGCAGTTTAGCAGCAGCAAATTCAACAAAATCCCCAAAGAGCCCGTATCTAAGGGGCCTATTGAAAATATCACATCCGAAGGAAGATAAAACAAAGAACAAACAAACAAAAAAACCCCAACAAACTTAAAAAGATTACATTACTGAGTCTTTTTGGAGCTGTGAGTTCTAAATCAATAATTCTGTCAGCATCTGTGATGTGGAGTAATACTGATAAAGCAGCATCTCTTTCCTCCTCCACTCCCTCCACCCTTAAGAGCTACAGGCTCATTACTGTAAGGTTTTATCATGCAGTTGAACCCCAGTGGGGATATGTAAGCCAATTCTTTAGGTTTTGCTGAGAGTATTCCGACTATACGTTGCCTGTGAAAGCCCAGTTGCAGAAAGCTGACTGGTGTGTCGAGTGGTCTCGTGAATATACGGACTGTTACTTTGTGCTGCAAAGATGAATGTATTGCAACTGGACTCCTTTTTACAGCTCGTCCGGAAAGTAAGAGTACCTGAAAAATTTTCAGCCGTTGGCACAGCGTTTGCCTCAATGACAGTATCTGGGAGGCAACGGGAAATTGCAGGAGCCACAGGGCTTGGGCACTGGGAGCGCGGTGGCTGGGGAGGCCGCCTGTGTCACCCGTACGGTGACCAGCACATCTGTGCTCACAGACCCAGGCTGTGCGCCACTGCATGAAGCTTCTCTTTAGCATCCAATTCCAGTGACCCCCCACATGCCCCGTGCAAAACCCGCAAATGCTGCCTGGAAGATATTAATTCTCAAGCAAAGAAATACTTCTGAGGCTTCCAACCTAGCAGAAAATAAGATAACCAGATATTTTGCCCTGAAGCAAAATGTTATATACAGCAGTGCAGCTGGCAACGTTTGCTTTCCCCTGGATAAGTCCCTTCTCTGACCAGAAGGAAAGGAAGCTGTGTCCAGGAATGCATAGGCTCTTTGCTTGAACAAAAACCATTTGCTGTGGTAGCAGCTGAGAAGCTGTAACAACAACTTCAGCCTTGGCAGAAATCAGACACCTTGAAGACAGCCAAATGAATGTGAGGTGAGGGGAAAGATCTGTGTTGCCTGTTTTCTTTAGACTCAGGCTTGGGGCTATGTTTTCCAGCCAAAAATCATTCCTTAAATATACTTTCACTGTAGATTTTCTATGACCATCATTCTTTCATTTAAGTAACAATCACCCTATCTTCTGGCTGTTCAACAGGCAGGTGCAGTGGCTTTTAAACTTCTGAGGGCATTAGCAAATTAGTTGAGAGTACAGAGGAATCGCAAACCACTCTTGGCAGCAGCAGCAATCTACTGGCTTGTGGGACACCTGGAAATGGGAGATGTGTGAAAGAGGTTGTTTGTACACTGCAGAGAGGAATACATGGCAAACACTGATTTTACACCTCTGTTATCCCTGATGCTGTCACTTGCAAACACCAGGCGCAAAGATAGCTACCATAAACCTCTTCACATCTAATTGAAATGCATAGATAGGAGCATCTTTAAAGAGATGTCCAAAGACAAGCTTGTAGTTTCATAGAACTCTCATTAAATCTCAGCATGTGCGGCCTTCAGAGATCTTCAAGGAAGGTGATAAAACCAGTGATAAAATTACTCTTCTGTCTCCAAACCTGTCAGAAAAAGGATGTGGAGGCACTCCTATGGCAAGGTGCCACAGGACGTGCTTGGGTGTCCACAGAAGACAGGGTGAGAAGTCATGCAGCTCAGCCCCTTGCCCCAAGGCAGAGCCAACGACATTTAAATAATTCCTGAAGGATGTTTGTCCAGCCCATTCTTAAAAATCTTTCTAAGGGCAGGTTCCTCCTCTAGAAGTTCCCCCCAGTGCCATGTTATTGCACCAGTAACTCCTGCTGGCCACCCAGGGCTGGGAGGGGGAAGAGGAGCCATGCCCCTCTCCACACAGGGAAGGACAGGACAGGCAGGAGGCAGTGTCTGAAGCATCCCCAAAACAAAGGAAACCCAAAACAGAGCCAAAACCAACTTATGTACATTTTTCATTGCGTTTCACCTCAAGCCGCCACTGCTCCACACTTCCAGGCTTGGTGAGGTAAAGCCATGGAAATGTTCAAGGCATGCTCAGCCCAAGTCTGTGAGATTTCTGCCTGAATCCTGATGTGTCCGAGAGATGCACCAAATACTCCTTCTCTACAGGTAGCTTGAATACCTCAACATGAACCAGAAATGGCATGTTCTCAAGGTTTCAGACTATGCTAAGCCACTTTGGCCTTCCTCCCCTTTGACTTTTTCCTCTGGAGCAATTATCTTCACCAAAGTCAATTGGCCTCACTGCGCCAGTTGATTAATAGGTGCAGATGCTATGCTCTGTTCTCAGTCCAAAGCACTTCCAGTGGCTAACTGTGCATAAGATTTTACCCTTACTGATGAACCTCCATTTTGGAAGACTACCTAGGCTTAAGCAGTTTTTTGGCATACTCTCAAGTGGCATTTTAGCCCAGGTATCACTGTGGTTTTGTTTGCAATATAGACGACTCAATTTTTGTATAAATTCAGTAAGTAGAACAGAGTACTATACACTGTCAGGCACTAACTAAAATCTAACAGCAAAAATTTTAGCTAAGGCTAACAAGACTATAGAGGACTGTGGCTCACTGAGCACATCTATCTTCTACAAACATTAAAATTTCCATACAGTAAGGTATGGTGTACAGTATATTTTTACTACAGGGTAAGCATGGGGGGAAAGAACCAACCTAAGTGCATATGACCATCAAGATCAGTCCAGTTTTCTTGTAACATAATTCCTAATATTGTCTTAGCACAAGTTCATTTTCAGTTTACAAGAATTCTAATTGGAGGAAAAAATGAAGAGAGAAAAGTTGGTATAGCTGGAATAACTATGCTATAAAACTTAATTGATGAAGAATTTTCTGCCCAAAGCTTTAAGTGAAAATGTTCTTGTTAGATTAATATTAGAGCTGAGAAGGTTGAGAAAAACCTGTCTGGCAAAGAAAAACAGCTTCTTTTCCAAAGACAAGCAAACACACTTACCATGGTCAACTGCATGAACCTGGAGGGAAAACAGTACCTAAGTGGCCTGAGGTTATGTTGGGCCGTGTGAGAATTCGCATCTGCTCTCAGAAGCTTTCTGAGCCAGCACTGAATTCAGGTAAAACATGTACTTTAAATTGAAAGGTGTACTTTTAAATGCTTTTCTCTAGGCTGACTGTCCTCCTGTGAGCCACCAAATCCCAACCCAGCCAACACGTTGTTTATTTTTATTCAAAGAGAAAATACAACGGAGTGGCAGCACAACTGGGCAGAGTTCAGGAGAGTCAGAAGGAAGACCGCGACTTCTCTTAAAAACAGTGAGAAAGCTAGAAACAGCTCTTTAGCAAGTGGGTTTTGTGGGAAAATAACCGGTTGCTTCAAAACTTAGCAAAGTGGTGTTTCTCCTATTTGTTAACTTTGGAAGCGGGCAGCGTGTTCAAGGAGACACAGGGCGGGGAAGCAAAGCTAACAGGGGTTACCCCTGGGTTCGCTGTGGACCCCCCCCCCAGTCGCTGCAGCTGCTCTCGCGTGGTCAGGACAGCACTGCTGTGGGGGCACTTGGGGTGCCAGACTGCAGCGGGGTCGTCCCCCGTGTCCCTGTCCCACAGCCCAGCGGCTCACGGGGGTGCACAGCTGGCTCCTCGCCTGCCTCACGTTACGCTCGGGTTTGCCAAACCAGAGCTTGTGTGGTAAGGCACGAGCCCTATGGGAAGCCACTTTTTGGAAGACCCTGGTCAGAAGGGATTACCCAGAGCCTTTTCCTCCCCTGCCTTTGTGGGTGTTAAAACCCCAATCCATA